CTGGTAAAGTGCTGCAGGAAGTGGCTGTCCCATCTCTCCCCCCCCCCCCCACACCGACCCACAGAGAACTACAATGCTGATACGGGCCTCGAAGAAATCCAGTTTGACGCACCTGATATAGACTATTCAAGACCAAAGGACCTTCAAGGTAATATGCATGGTGCACTTCAGAACAAACGAAGAATGAATGGGTCTAGCTTCTAGATGGCTGTTTTTGTTTTTAAAATACCAACTTAAACCAATTTATAAAGACTCTCCTAATAAATCACCTGCATTTTGTCAAATACTTTATCTTTGTTTAAACACAGCCTAGGAGAGAGAAAAAATCAGCTGTCCTTGGAATTGTAAGCTACTGACAGGAGAAGTCAAACTATTCAGACAGTAACAAAGTACTTAAGGTAAACATGTAGCTGAGTTTCTTCTCAATGCTCAGAAAGCGTATTTTCTGCAGTCCTTCCCCTACAGTGACCAATCAATAACTGCCTCATTATGGTGCATGGCAAGATGATGGGTGAAGATGACTTCTATCTTTCCTAAAAAAGTTTGTGACTTTTAGCCAAAAGAGTTGCCTCCAATGCAAATTATGAACAAAAATATCTTTACCACAAAAAGGAAGTTTGGAGGTTGCTAATGATCACACAAATCAAGGAAAAAAATATTTGGGCTTAATAACAAACCTGCCTTTAAAAAAAAAACTGGCACTATTTCTTCCTTCCATTGTATGATTTTCTTAAAAAAATATCTTAACATCAACTTAATTGATGTAAAAATTGCACCTTTCTAAGCTGTAGTAAGACCCTCAAAAGCATGCAAGCTCAGAAATCAAGCAGTCTGATGCTGGTAGTAGGATTTTTGCTTTTTGGAATATCCCTCAGCAGCCTATTCTCACTGTGGTAGGACCATCCAAATCAATTCCCTATAAGGAGGTATATCAGGTCTATATCTTGTAGAAATAATATTCTTTGAGAAGCCTTCTGCTACATCAAGAGAGCAGAAGAATGGAATATTATCTTATTCTCCTGTAAAGAAGATCTGATTAGTTTTAATTATTATGTTACACGGCTTGGAAGTCCCTTAGAAGATGGAGGATCAAATTTAAACACTAAGAACAACTGCTGCCATTCATGGAGAACATTGGAAGTTAACTTTCCTGTTGTTTGTTAAATGTTTGCCATATACAGCAAATATGGGAAGAACCTGAATGAAATAGATAGCTGAAAATAAATGATCAAAAACATCACTACTATAAATGTCATACTCTTCTACTCTATTTCATGGTTTGTAATGTAAGATCCATATTGAAAAAGAGTATGTTAAAACATTATATATCTTTTTTTCCTAATTGTATCACTTATTATGCACATCTTCACTTATCATTGTTACCAGAAAAAATGAACATGCATTTGTCTAACAGCTCTTAAACATCTCATCTATTTTTATACTAAAAAAACCCTGAAAGCTTCCAAGTTTATTTCAGCTTCTTGCTATATATGTTGGCCTAATGGGTCTCTGCAGATGACAAAATGTGTGCGAATGCTGCTCTTTAGCTGGATACTACCTCACAATCATTTTTGTCTGCCCTCATATTTCTTGTTCATTGCATTCTCACTTTATATAACATCCTACTACTAGTATATTATTTCAGTCACATTTGTACACTACTCAGATAATTCTAAGAAAAAAGGGGTGGTTGAGTAAAAAATTAATAAATACATTACCAATGTATTTATTGAAATGAATAAAAATTAATAAAAAAGGAACTTCAGAAAACTTGACGTAAAAAAAATTCTTACCTCAGTCTGAACAAAACAGCTTGCAGGAAGTTTAACACTGCGGCGAGTTCAGGTCCTCGACAACCTGGCAACAACATACTAAACCCATCACTCATCAGCTTTTCTTCAGAAAGGTTCAAGTATACGCTGCTTTCAAAAACTTCTTGGACTCCATCAACATACGTGGAAAGTAGCATCCAAAGGTTTTGTTTCTGCACAAGGTCGTTTCTTGTGACTAAGAATTCTTTTGCCTTTTCACAGAAAGCTGCTGAAAGTGGCTCAGCAAGCACTCTGATGTCCATGCTCTTATCAATGTACGTTAAGATGAAGGCAAAGTAGCCTTTCCAGATAAGAGCTTTCTGAGTAACACTGGTAGAAGTGGGACTGAGGAAGCGCAGAAGTTCCATCATGCGGCTAGCAACATCTTCTGTCTCTGCTAAGGCCGCCAGCACCAGGAAAAGATAGAAGAAATTTTGAAGTCCAACTTCTGTTAGTTCACACATTCTTTTCTGGTGGAATTTTGAATAAATTCTGCATTATAAAAGAAAACCCCCCATAATTTTTTTCCTTAAAATTTGTTTTGAATCTATTTATTTCATTTATTTATTTAAAGCATTTATATACCTGCCCATCTTCTAACCAACTTCCAATCAATTGTCCTTTGAATTGATGACCCCAGCTAGTCTTAGTTCCAAAGAATTCTTTGATGGAAAAAGAGTGATGTTGAAGCATTTCTACTAAAAATGTATCACTGCATGCATATTTCTTCAACATTCCACTTTGTTTATGCCAGTACATTCAGAATAAGGAACAAAAAACTTCAGAGAGTGGGAAACTGTACAATGTGCCTGACAAGTGTGATGGAGTTAATGTAAATCACAAATGTACATGAGAAAGAAGCATTGTTGAGGTTTGAAAGAAAAGTTTTATTTCTGTCTACCTTTCATTAAACAGAAGCTGCTAGTACATGAAGCACAAATAATACTTATTGTATTTTTCAGAGTATAAGATGCACCGGAGTATAAGATGCTCCAAGGTTTTGAAGAGGCAAATAAAAAAAAGTTTTTGCGCTCTGCAAACCTCCCAAAAATGGCCTGTTTTTTGCAAAAATGGGCCCGTTTTTTGTCAAAAAGGGGCATTAGGAAGTTTATAGAGTGCTCCTGGGGGCTGGAGGGGGGGCAAAATTGAGCAAAAAACAGCCCATTTTTTGCTCATTTCTGCCCTCCCCACCTCCCAGGAGCCTCCTACAAGCTATGCATGGGAATTTTGGTGAAAAGGGCAGGGTTTCAGGAGGCAAAAAAATTTGCTGTATTCAGTGTATAAGACACACCCAGATTTTCAGCCTCTTTTTTGAGGGAAAAAGGTGCATCTTATAGTCCAAAACTACGGTATGTGACAGTCTGTCGGGGAGAAAGTGAAAATTGATTTGAACAAATCTAGTAAAACATTATCAACTAAAGTGTTTCCTGATGTACCACCAATTGAAGTTTTTTCCCTGCTTTACATTGAACTTTTAAACACTGACAAAAATTATGGCAGTCTTATACAATCCAGTCGTTAGGAACTGTTTGACTAAAATTCCCCATCATCTGTTGAGTCTAAAGATGAAAGAATAATCCCAACAAATCTTTAGAGCAGCAATTTGGAAAACTTTGATCTACACTTTTACCTGGATCTGAGAAGCACATTTGCTTCTCAAATGAATGCATCTTGAAAAAAACAACTATAAAGCAAAAACCACGGTGGTTTCTATTGACCCTTTTCCATATTGCAGCTCCATAAACTTCTGAAAAGTGCCTGGATCATCAAAAGAGTGGATTATAGCATGCAGGAGTCAATAGGAAGAAATTACTAAAAATTACACAGAAATGCTTTCTGTTACTGGAATTTTTAGCATACAAATTGTTTTCATTGATGTGAGAATATAACTTCTATTCAAGTGATGTTTTGGGGGGAAAACACTGAAAGCTAATATATAAGAAAGGATCATCTTACTACTGACTCATTACTCTAACTCAAATAATCTGCTTCAAATAAATATGACTGTCAACATGAATTGCATATTCATCTGAAAATGAAAAAATAAATAAAAACACCATGAATTCCTGTTAATTACAGATATTTTTAATATTAAAATCAAATCTGATTTTTTTTGCAATCCTTTATTTTATGAATATTTCCAAATACTTTCTGAATATAAATCTTAAGAGGGATGATTCTAAGAGACAAAAAGTACATGATGGACATGAGAAATCCTAGGTGAAAACGTATTAAGTTTCTCAGAATCACCTTATAAGAGAGATGAGGAGAATGAAGGAATGAATGAATGAGTACCCTCCTACCTTCCTTTGATCTGTTTCCATGGATGAACACCATTAATCTTGCCTGCTTTCTTCATTATTTGTGCCAATATGCGAAGAAAAAATTGGAAACTGTTGCAGGATATATACATGTCAGGGGTATGTATGTCACTGCAGTAGCTCTTTATCAACTCATATATAGATAAGGGTGTCTTGTTAATATTTGCAAGACCTTTAAGACCAAACCAAGGAATGGTAAAGGGGTTGTTCTGCAAAAAAAGAAAAAGTTTCATAACATGGCATATGCTTTTAACTTTCTTCCACAAATTATTTTATCACAACCAATCAGATGTCTATAACTGCAGAAGTAAAGAGCTCTCTAGCTTTAGAACATAAATCAACGAATGAATGCTAATTGGAGATCTGCTGCTCCTTTCTTATCATCACCATAATAGCAGAAAAAGAAATTTCATATCTTATGGAATTTGGGCCATCCCTTCCTTCTGAATATGTATTTATTTATTATATTTATTGAAAACATGTCATTTAAAAATTGATATTATTGATCTGAAATAATTTCTGTGGTACAGTGCAATGCGCACTGAATGCATACTTTAAAAAACGATCATTTGTTTTACAGAATCTGTAATGATTATTTGCTATATAATAATAAGATACAATTATTTTAAGTTAAAATATTTCAAATATTGTGAACTTGTATTGTTGTTGGAATAAAATAATGTAAAAATTAGTAATCCTACCACTTAACAAAAAAAACCCCACTTAAATCCTATCACTTAACAAAAAACACTGGATTACTTTTTTTAAAGAAAAACCGCTGTTAGATTTTTTAAAAAAAATATTTACTAACCAGATTTTTGCTGTAATGTTCCCAAACTATGGTGACAATAGTGAGATTTACATCCCAGATGTGGCTTAATGTCAAGCAACACTGAAGATGCATCCGTAATTGTTCTTCTAAAATTCCAGCCTAGTAGACAAAAAAATTAAGATATTATTAGTTTTTTGTTTAATTTATCAAGGTTTCTATTTTATACAAACAATTTTGACCACAAGACAAATCAGAAGAATTCACATTTAAGTACTTTGTTTTATAATTATTATTTCTGACTTTCAAAGGAAATTCTGTTAAAATCACATGCAAAATAGAAAAAGCAATCTGAGAAATGATGGTGCAATCATTTATCTGGTATTATCAACTAATCTCCATGTATATTTTTTTGAATCATATAGTTATAAAAATATGCTACACTTGAAAGATAATTTGGAGTTTAATTCATGGGTAGGCTATATCTAAGCATCGTCCAGCAAAAATGCTTGGGGCCAAAAATACTTCCTAGTGCCTAGGGATAAACATCATCTGAAGCAAAGGAAGAATTCTAACTTTCTAGCTACCATAAACAACATGATAGATTTGGTTCACTTATAGTGATTCATTATTGTAACTTTAAATGCCCAGCATTCTATGAGCTATCACACTAACACATTTGTCATGCAGTTAGGAATGTAGCATTTTAAAGAACAGAACTAAAATATAATCCTTGGTCAATTGTAAGGGAACTGGCCAACTGAAATTAATTTTTAAGGGCAAAACAACCTATTGATTTAGGAACACTATTTCCCACCTTGGCGAATAGCAATAGCAATAGCAATAGCAGA